AGCCTTACTCATAACGTTTTTTCCCCCGAGTTGTTTACTATCTTTACTTGTTTTCAAAGATGTAGAACAAAATACTACCTGTGTCATCGGTAAATTACACTAAGAAACTGAGAAAATAATTTAGATTGTTAGGTTTGTGTTGCGTTAACTGCCGTTTTTCATCGAATATCACGTCGCTTTGATGATCTTGGCGTTTTCAATCCAAAACTTCTATCCTCCAACGGGACTCAAACCCATCTTTGCTCTTCGAACAACGATTTATTCATAGCACCAGTAGGATACCATCTACGCAAGGAAAGCGTAGGACTAGGTACAGAATCCGTCCAGGGGTAAATGTTTTGCGATTAAGTGCTGATAAATTTTTCCTCAATTTTGTTCTAAAACAGTTTTTCGCGGCTTACATTCATAAACAAGAAGGCTAAACATAATGTAATTCATTTATTTGCAGATTCTCTACCAGAAGTAACTTAATGGATGTACAACAGATTGTGTCTAATGCATCAACAGTCATACTGGTTATGGGGACAATGCTGAACCTAATATTTATCTATACAATCAGAAATGGTACCCGAAGTACGGTCAGTCACGTCTACAAAAATATAATGACGTGCTTTGCTGTCTTCAACATACTTTTCGCAGCTGCAGAATTCATCATTAGGCCTGTAAGTTGTTTTACTTTCACACCAAAAAAACTCAGCTGACTTCTGCTACGCGATAGGAATACTCGATAGTGTGCAGATCTTGAAAATAGAACGCAAAATGAGAATTTGAAGACCCCTATATAGAATCGGACATCATTTCATTGAGAGAAAAAAGAAAAAAAACCCTGAGAGATTGATAATGATGCCACATTTTTTGTAATGTTAGAGAGTAATAACAACAGCAGAACATTTTCTTAGCTGATAATTATTTGAGATTATTCCATTTCAGGGTATTCACATTTATGGGAATTCCCTAATGACGTATAGTCATGGAGCGTTCCAGCAAATGAAACCTTGGGGGCACATATTACTAAGTATTTTTATTGGAATGTACGGCACAAACACAGCTCTTTTGACTCTTCATTTCGTGTACAGATACGTTGCCGTTTGCAGGTTTGTGGGCTCTTATAATCTGAGGTATGGTCACTGGGATCCAATCAAAAATGTGTAATAAGATTTCAAAAAAGACTGACCTCCCCCATTAATATTGATATAGATGAGAACGATTTCCTTCCATCATGACGGCAGGGCTTTTGCCCTCAAAAAGCATATTCTTCTTCTCAACCACATGATGGTTGGAACAGCTCGCAGAGATCTTCGTCTTTTCGAATGTAATGTATGCATGAGCGGAAATAGAAGTATAAACAGAGTTTATGGAATGCTCGATTGAGCTGCTCGAAGATACTTACCTTGTTTTGAAGCCAACTCCAAGCTCATGAACAAATTTTCATTTTCTGATGATGGCAAAAAATTTTTCTCCATTTTCCTAGTGAACTGAAAAAAAATAAACGGAACCTCGCTAATCAATTCTACTGACTGAGTTCCTGGATCAAATACATTCTGAAATTATTTTTACAAAAAAATAAGTAATCTGCATGACATCATCGTCTGATAAGTTGTCGTTATGTTGAAATTCGCCTATTTGTTTCTCTCAAAGGTGTCGGGAAAGTCTTTGGGCAAAG